GGGATTGGTCCCTCCTGATAACATGTCCAAAGTACATGAGAAGAAGGATCACCATCCTCACTTCTAAGGAGCATTCTAGCTGTACTTCTTCTAAGACAGACTTGTTGGTCTGGCAGTCCATGGTATATTCAATATTCTTCACCATCACCATAATTCAGAGGCATCAATTCTTATTTGGCCTTCATTATTCATTGTCCAGCTTTCACATGCATATGAGGTGATTGAAAATACTATGGCTTGGGTCAGGCACACCTTAGTCCTCAAAGTGACATCTTTGCTTTTTAAGATTTTTTAGAGAGATCTTTTGCAGCAGATTTGCTCAATGAAATACATTGTTTGATTTCTTGACTATTGCTTCCACAGGCATTGACTGTGGATACAAGTAAAATGAAATCCTTGACAACTTCAATACTTTCTCCGTTTATCATGATATTGCTTAAAAAAGTGCAAATATATATTATAATCTGAAAAGAAATTTAAGGGCAATATTGGGAGTGTTTAAAATAAATAATTCCTTATTCTATCAAAGAATTATAAATGTACTATAACTTTAAAGGACCCATAAATTATTTAGTCAAAGCCCTTCACTTTAGATTAGGAAACTAAGGCACAGATAGGCTGAGTGATTTGCCCAAGGACACCCAGATAGTAAGAGTACAGAAACTACGACTTAGTATGATATGTTTTCTATAGTCAAATTTCTCTCCACCTGGTCACCTCTCTGTTTTTGTTAAAAGAGGCCTGTCTGCCATAACTACTGTGGTATTTACATGTTATTTATTTAATCCCTTTATTAACAACTTCTAATTCACAAGATTGATTAAAACCTATTTTCTGTTGAAGAAATTAGAGTTATAATATCAAACACAACAAGTAAAACATTATCTAAAACTTTAAATACTTTTAAGAGGCATTTACTGCTCTGTGCTGTCTCCAAATGTATGCAATAACTACAGCTTTTAGTTGTCACAGTCCTCCTTTTACAGATACTATTTCATATGATTGCTATTACACTCTTGCAGGATTGGAACAACAGGTAATATCTCCATTTTACACATAAAAATAGAGGTCATTTAACCTTCTCAAGGTTTGTTAGAGCCAAAATTCAAACTCTAGTCTCTGACTCTGCATCTTTTGCTGTTTCTATTCTATTACACCATTCTACTTTTGATATCACACTTATGTCTCAGCCAGTATATGTAACTCCTCTCTAAATATTTGCTCTTAGTTGTTCTGCTGTTACTCAAATTTTAGATGTCATAAATGAACTCACCCTGTTTATCCATTAGTCAGCCTTCCTCCCAATATCCCCATTCTTATTCTAATACCACCCAACTCTCAAATCTATTTAGTCACCAAGTCCTGTTAATTCACTATTCAAGTTCCCCCGCCTCTCTATGAGCTAACTAAAAGTCCTCATTGTCTCTCACTAGGATTCTGGAATAGTAAATCTTCAAGCTTTACCTTTTTGCTTATTAGGTTTATTTAAACCCATAACATATCCCTAAAGCATACTCCCAATTATTTGAAATTGTTCAAAGGGAATAACGGAAATAAAATAAAAACAAAGGTACAAACCACATTAGATGTAAAATGTTTCTTCAACAACAAAGGTCCAAAGTTCTTAATGATGTCTTTTATTTAAATTCTCCAAATATTAATTTTCCCAATAGATTTGCATAATCTCATCAATTCTGGAAACCATATCTACAACAAATTTTTCAGATTTTGATTTCCCTTTATAATTACAGTTTTCCACATTATATAACAAGTAGCAACACCATGATTCACTTAAGCCAGACCAAGATGAAGTCTTCCATTGAAAAAAACTGCTTTGTTGAGGGCAGAAATCAGTTGTCTAATGCTCCTTGATGGGAATAGCATCTATTGAGGTACTGAAATTAGACTAAAAGGGAAGAAAGGTTTATTGCTGGACACAGATAAGGAATGCAATTGAATGTTATTTCTGACTCTGATTTCTACGGATGTGTACCTTTAAGGAAGACATCATCAACCTGGCAAAATAGCTTCCAGAAGATTGTTCTGAATGAAGCTATCGTCAAGAAGTGGGCAACTCTGAAAGAATGGAGGTAGTATAGCATACTAACACATGTTTCTGAATGATGTTGAAAAAATCAGTCCCCAGATATTTTTGGGCAGATCACTGAAGAAATGAGAAGTGTAAATAGGAAAGCTAAAGAGTATATATGGTGCAGTTTCTTTTAGCTTAATTGCCTTATTAATACAAGAACTTTTTGGGCCTTCCCTAAATTGACTAGTTTAAAGCGTGTGACAGGAAAGGTGGTGGGTCACTCCTCAGAGATGTATTGCTCTTGGAAGTGGTTCTCAAACTTTAGCATACATCAGAATCATCTGGAAAGCTTATTAAGACACAGATTGCTAAATTCCATTTCTAGCATTTCTGATTTAGTTGGTCATGGGTGAATCCCCAAAATTTACTTTTCTAAGACATAAATTCTGCAGCTGGTTAAGGGGCCACACTTTGAGAACCACGGATCTGTGGATTAGGCTGATGAAACTTTCTTAAATTGATATGGCTTAATGAAGATGTTCCTGCTTATTGTTCTAGATGCAGATCTATCACATAAGTTTAAATTTGTCTGGGACTCTAGCTATTGCTAGCTAAAATATTTTAAAAATATTATCAGTGGGTCCTCTATTTATACAACATAATAATTTATGGTCTCTGCTACTGACTGTCATAAAACAATTGGACGTTAGATTTAGAAGAATCCTTAGAAGTAACCTAATCTAATGCCCTAATTCCGAGGATGAAAAAAAACACATTACACTGTCATATTTAATAGACCTACACAACTGTGATTTCCAAAGCAGGATTTATTATCAACAGCCTTTGGAGAATGGTCTACAAACTGAGCAGTTCTAACTCATACAATAATCATGTCTACCTTTTGTTTGTCACATAATTAATTTTTTTCTTAGATAATTAAGAATATTCTCCTTGATGTTAATTTCAATTCAACCCAGAACTTATGTGGGGCAATAGCAAGTAGAAATCAGCAAGGCAGGAGCTTCTTCCTGGCGAAGGTGTTTCCAGGCAAAAAAAATTTTATAGACTCTTATGTAACACAGCCATGAATCCAAGGAGACCCTAAGAACTTTTTTTTTTTCAGTAATAGAGTCCACGACCTCAAGAAAATAAATGTAAAACATTCCATTTACTTCAATATAATGAAAATCTACATTTGCCAGGTGGTACTACACATGTTCATATTCCGCATCTCATTAAAATCTCATAACTATGCTGTAAGATGAAGAAACTGAAGATTTTAGAGTTTAAATAGCATAGGCCAGCAATATGCTTTCCCACGATGAAAACACAACAGTTTCCCTTATATATTTGCCAGCATTTATTTAATTTAGCTGCCTGACAAGTTGGCACATTTGTATCCTACTTAGGCCGAATGACTTCATTTTCAGGAAGCAAAAATACAGATATCCTTGTGGACAGCCAGGAAGTCTAAAGATTTGTTTTCTAAGTATTCACGAATCCAGTATGGATGCCCGTCCTCCCCTCCTCTTTTAGAGAAAAACAGTTCAGCTGTCAAATTAAATGACTTCCTTTCCTGGAAGCACATTTAGCATATTGTGATAGCCTCTAATAGTTTAGATTACACCTTCTATATTACACAAAAGCATTTTTCAGCATAGGAAAAGTGATCTTTTTTAGAGGCATCCTATAACTGGTCACTAGTTAAATTTGGCTCCACATTCCATGGTTTCCTTATAAAGGACAAGACATTTCACTTTCAACCTTTCTTATTTTAACTGAATTCCCCAAAGTAATTATCAAAACTCATAATTGGGACTGCCTCGGAACTTAGACCAAATCTCAAGACCAACTCAATAATAGGAGGCTCAATCAACTGGCAATGCTGGAAAACCTGTCCAGGTTATAAATAATAATCAATAGATAAACTATGCCTTTTCTGACATTTACCATTCACTGAGTATCAGTAGACATACATATTTGAAAGCAATTTGAAGGCCCGTGGAGCCATAATGAAGATGGTCTCTGCTTGCTAACAGAAGACTTAGGAGAAAGACAAAAAGAATGCATCTTCAGGCCATGCATCACTGGAGTTGTATTTCAAGAAGCTCTTGAATCCATCAATAAATCCAGCCTTTAAGGAACAATCTCCCAAAAAGAATTTTATGTTTGCTTTAAACACTTAATAAATGTTCATAAAAAATTTATTTATTTACATTGTTTTCATGATTACGTTTGGTATCTCTATGAATAAAATGGAGACTGAAACCCCTGTTTATATCATTGGGACTATAATAAATAAGGATCCATTTATGACCATTGATTAGATACAAACTTAATCTGAAATTGTCAATTAGTAAAAGACTTGTACTTAGAAATGCATGTACTCTCCCTAAGCTCTGAAGTTCTTCCTGAATATAAAGCACTATGACCTCTTTAAAGCTACCCTATGGATGATTTATCCAATTCCCTATATTTAGTAAATACACAAGATAACAATCACAAAAAATATGACTAGAAGCAGTTTCCAGATTACTTAGGGAAAGCTATTATCCCTTCCCCTCTGTCAAAAAAAAAAAAGGCAGGGGGGTGGGGGCGGGGAGGAAGGCTGGAAACCCACCAGCACCACTACCAAAGGGTAATGTGAGGCTTTTTCTGGAGGGCCTGGACCAGACAGGAGAAGAGAGGAGAAATGAAATAGCTTTGAAAAATGTTTGCGTGAACACCAGCGACTTAAGAATATGCACCAAAACACAGATCCCAAAATTAAAAAACACAATTACTCAAAATGATACACATTCAGTGTCAGCTCTGTAGCAAGAGAACCTGATATACTAACCAGACCAATGTCAGAAGTTATGTTACACATTTTGTTTTATTTGGTCACTACTAGAAGCAGCATCCACAGAGAACAAGACATTATCTTGCCCATTAAACACAGAAACAAAGAAAAAACTCCAGGACTTACACTTGTCTTTTCATCAGTTTCATATTCAAAACACTGGTTTTCTTTATTTTGTTCAACACATGAAGTATTTTCTTTTGACCCACTGCAACCTGTAAGCTAAAAAAAAAGGTTTAAAAATCAACACGTTTGTTTTCTGCAATGTAAATTAGTATACTTTTAAAACTTTTAACATAAACATTAAAATATCTAAGACTCCAATAAAACTATTAGACATGACTTATGTTCGTTTTAGAATATAAATGCAGTATCTAACCCATTTTTATCTTGCTCCCAAAAAGAAAACATAAAATGGGACAGTTATTCAAAGGCAATTTTTTACATTTCAAAGCTCTTCACCAGGAAGTGTTGAACTTGGACTACTCAAAGGTAAATTAATTATCTGGTAAAAGCTGAACATAAAAATTTTCCATTTTAATGGGAAAACAGAAGGGTTGATTTCATATTATATAAGTTCTCACACTTGCAGAAACCTCTACTCTATGGTACTTGCTGGATATCTCAGCACAAGTAAAGGAACTGATTGTCTTTGGTCTGAACTATCTTTTCAAAGATCCTTGTATAGTTCACAGTCTTCAGAGCAAAGAGAAGGTTTACTTACTGACCATTATAGAAGACTTTTGTTCTCTAAACTAAGGGTTCTTCTCTTGTAATACAACTCAGTCCGTGTGAATGTATCACCTGACTCTCTTCACACTGCCCTGTAGGAATTGGGGCTTGAAGAACTAGAGCAAAATAATGCTCATACTCTGACTACTCCTATTGTTGTGAATAATGAAGTTCTTTGTCTCTGATTCAGGAGTTTCCAATCTTCTGCCAGCATCCATGAAACTGTGGCAGGCTAACTTCTTAGCTGGCAAGTAGGGTAAAATCTTAGACCTTTCACAGTTCATGACAGTTTTTCATGAAAAGAATGGAATACTGACAGAGTCATGGCTATCTGGAAGAAGAATGAGGGGTTTGTGGACTCGTAAAACGAGATTTGTGAGTAGTCTGGAAATTGTTAGCAAACATGTTAGCCAAATTGTATGTTGAACTGCATAATAATGGTCCTCCACTTTAATGCTTGCTAATGAGGAGGAACTTGGGTAGTGGTTGCAGGCCTAGTACCATACCAGAAAACAGATTCAACACCGGAAAATCATTCTTCCTTATTTATTTGTTCATTTGTTTGTTCATCCACCTATCCATCCATTCATTCACCTAATTTAATTCTTTATTTATTCATTCATTAAACAAATATGTATTGATCTCTGAAGATAGATACACATTTAGATGGACAACTTATCCTCCAAGGAGCTCTAAGGAAACATATATATATATATGTATATATATATATAAATTTATAATACAATGTGTTTATCACAATAATAGACGTAAAGTGTGGGAACAGAAAAGAGAAGCATCTATATTGGACTGTGGAATAAAAAAAGGCTTCCTGAAGGATGTGAAATTTAAATAATGCTATGGACAAGGGGACATTATCTAGACATGCAACAGTGCTCAGCATAAGAGCAAATAGTTAGAGGACTTGAAAGGCCTCATGCTCAGAAAGAAAGAGCATAGGTGTTGGAGTTAGAAAGAAATTAGTCAGAATCCTTTACCTCCACCTAAAGCTGTGTGGAATGGAGCAATAAAAAATTAAATTCTATGAATCTGACTTTTCTCATCTAAAATATGAAGACAAGTCACCCACCACATAGGGTCTCTATCTCCTTATCAACCATTCCACAGCTGAGTCAGATGCTATGAATTTACAACTTTCCTACCTCATACTAGTTGCTGTTTTATATATACTTCCTAAGTACATACAAAGCACTCAATACCCTGACTGGCTTTCTATGCTTTTAAATCCCTGCCATTACTCCTTTCCCTGGCAACTTGCCATCAGTTTTTACTCTCATAGAAATAGCAATTTTCTCCATATTTCTATGCTTCGTTCATTCTTTAAACAAACAACTTTGATCACTCTTGCTCTAAAGCTAACAATCTATCTCTGACCTTCTCCTCCCCAGCAGAATCAATATTCTTGAAAGACATAATCTTCACAATAATAGCAACAATACAATAGCAACGGAAACATTTAATGAAAAGTTATAATAAGCTAGGTCCTGTTGCTAAGATGTTGATACATATTTTGTATGCATTATCTCATTTAGTTTAAAAATAAGTCCTATGAAGTATGCACTATCACCCTTATTTTCTAGGTGAGAAAATAGAAACTAGCTCTGTCTGAATGCAAAGCCTATGCATCTAATCACTACACTAAACTCCGGAACCACTTTGTTAACACCAATTTATCCTTTAACCTGTCAAAGTGTGGTCCCCAAACCTACAGTATCAGTACCATCTCGGAAATTGCTAGAAAAACAAATTATTGGGCCTCACCCCAGATCTACTGAATCAGAAACTATGGGGATATGGCCTTGCAATCTGTGTTTTATCAAGGCATCCAGGTGATTCTGACACACGTTAATTGAAAACCACTGACCTAGATGTCAAAATGTTAAATGATTTAGGTGTGTAAAGTAAGTAAAGTGAGCCAAGTATAAGAAATATGTAGGGAGTGATGGACAGCCTTTGGCAAAACGGAGAGCTCAAGCCCCATCTAACTGCTCATCGCTAGTCAGTTCTAGCCATCTGCTGCAATGAGGAAACCCAGAATTCAGTGTCGTCAGATATTAAGAATTTTCAAGAGAACATTGAAGTCTGAACTTTTATGTGAAATACATTGATTTTTAAATGTTGACAACAATTATATATTTTTAAAATACCATGTGAGCTAGCAGTGAATGGACCAAACAGAATATATCTCTGGGCCGGAGTTTACATAAGGACAGTCAGGTTGTGACCTCTGCTTTAATCTCTGAAAACTGCCCTTGCTTCCCTGCATACTGCACTCTTCAAAATTCACCAAGGACCTTCTAGTCCTCATTATCTTCCACTTTCTCTGACTTTCTATTGTCCTCATTGTCTTTCACTTTTCTCTAGAATTTCATACCTTTACTACTCCTCCTTTCTTGAAACTCTTACCCCTATATTCAGAAACATATGTCTCTCCTAGTTACCACCCTATCTCTCTGAGGGCCTCCTCTTTCATCTACCTCTTCTTCCTTTTAGCCCACATTCAGCTGCTACTCCTAAATTTCTTTCCTCTACATCTTCTCTCAGAGTCCCTGTGGCGCAAATGACTAAGCACAAGACTACAAGCCAAAGGTTGGTGGTTTGAATCTAACCAGAGGTACCTCAAAAGACAGGCCTGGCGCTCTGCTTCTGAAAGGTCACGGTCTTGGAAACCCTATGAAGCAGTACACATGGAGTCATCATGAATTGGAATCAGCTTGACAGCAACTAACTACAATAACAACTCATATGCCCCTTCCTCCACAAAGCTTAATGCTGATCCTCTACCTTCCTCTCTTATTCTATGATGCCCTCAGAATTATATACTTTACCTGTACATCTATGTTTTTAATAATGATTTATCCACCTAATTTGTTTTAATAACAATCTAGATTATAAACAAAAGGGAAAATAAACAGTATTATTTATGTTTGTTTTATCCACTCATGTAAGTTTTAAGCTCCTTGAAGTCAATGAGTCTATTACCACCTTCATATCCCTCACAGTGACTAAACAAATAAGTGTAAAAATATTTTTTTAATTATTTAATTACACAGTGTGTGCACAAGTGTATCCTGACAAATATTTGGCACCTTTCATTAAACGGGCTCATCTTTTATATGTATCAGAAAAATTTACTATTTAAAAGAATCTTATTGTGCATTAAAAACAAAATCTGGAGACTCTCTATAGAGTAAATAACTCACTTGATTTAACAGTTTTGTAGACTTAACTGCTTATACTATTCTTCTCAAACCTGGAATTCTTCCCTTTGGAAATAGATTTTAGTACTGGTGAGCATCATTCACAAAATTTGTGTCTTTGCAAGAACCAAAGGCCTTATGAACTCCGAAAATTGTTCAACAAAGCTCCATGATGCCAGATCACTGGGAAATACTGTCCCTTCCCATCCTCTAGGAATGTTTCCTGTACCAGTTAGCCTGAGGCAGAAGCTCAATTCTGCTTTGGAGTAGTTCTATTCCAATTCTGTTAATATTTCCTGTCCTTTATACTTCTAGAGCAGCTAGTTTTATTTCACTCTGTAATATCCCCTTTAGATATAAGAAATATTACAAACTGCAGCAGTGTGAGATGAATAGTCTTTCATTTCATAGGAAATGAAACGCTGCTGCTTTATATACTCTACCTCAGAATTACAAACTACTGATGAGTTTAAACTAAGTAGTCTTTTTTAGCTGAGAGAATAGCAGAATCCATTATTATAGTCCTGAAGATATAAAAATTTCATGGAAAGCTGAATGGGGAGAAATGAAAGTAGCTCTAAACTAAGAACTCAAAAGAACAGAGAATCAGTTATCAAAAAAGGTCCTCAGCTTCTTTATTGATTCAACATTTATTAAATTATATTATATACAAGGCATTGAGCTAGATGATATAGGGAAAACATGAATAACACTTGGTCCATAAACAAAAAGAATTTAGTGTAGGAAAGGAAAGAAGATATATCAAAGTCACTAAAAAACAGGTAGAAAACTGAGTGTTGAAGAATTCAAAGGAAAAGTTGAACATAATGAGAAAACAAATGGGGTGATATCAATAGAGAAAAGGAAAATAATTTAAAAAGAACCCAACAAATTCAAGAGCTAAAACAATATATAACATGAGATGATTATTGGATTGGACACTTCAGAAAAAAATATCAGTGAATTTTAAGATGGGACAATAAAAATAATCTATAGAGAGAAACTAAAGCACACACACAAAATCAGAATACTAATGACTTGCACAAAAACATCAAGCCATCTAATATATGTGTAATTAAAGTTCCAGATATGAAAGAAAGATTGGGGCAGAAAATATTTAAATAAGTAGTGGCTAAATGTTTCCCAAATGATAAAAAAATACATATATACAAATGTATGTGTGTATACATATATATACATATATATGTGTGTGTGTATATATACATATAAATATACACACACATATAAACACAAAGGACAAAAATATCAACC